TGAAATACTGAAAAGTATTTTTAAAATTAGCTTGCAACAATTGTTCTGTATTCAATATATATTAAAAAATATGGACATAGTGTTTCTGAGAGACTTGAGAAATATGTTCTGCTCTTTGACTTTCATGCAGTTCTTGAAAAGCAAAGAGTAGCCTGTTAACTCCTTCAGTTGACAAGAGCCTCAAGTTCACTCAGAATGATACTCTGTCCAATAAAGAGATTTCTGACAAGTAGAGGATATTATCTTAAGACATAAAAATAAGGAATATATGACTATTATCACCACTACTGATGAGAACACTCCAGAACACTAGACACACACAAAGAGTAGAAACGTGATGGCATTGATTCCTAATAGTTACAAAATACAATTTTTACTGTCCAATATTAATGCACCTGGAAAACCCTGTCATCCAAACAACTGTCTCTTTTACCCTAACCTCCAAAATTCATGATACTGATGTGTTACCACAATATATCATGCACACTCTTTTCCTCAGTAGGAACAGCGGATGGGAGTAAAGGCAGATCATCTGGTAATTTTGGCTTGAAGGTTTAAGGTTTTGTAGATGTTTCCTGCTGTTTCAGATAGGAATTTTATGCATCTACTCAGTCACGTAAGATGACAAAAAACAGACAAGCGGAAGCAGATGCTGGCTCAATTACAACCTAAAATTCTTTAGTAATTCTAAACAGTCCTTTTGTGCTTTAGGCTGAAAGATACAAATATATATTTATATACAGAACTCATATATCAAACAGAAATAAACAAATTGTTACATTCTTTTCAATTAGATAGAAGTCAATAGCTTTAGAACTCCTGCACACATATGTCCTAGATCCATGAATGAATCCATAAATGCAAGCATACCTTTTAACTTCTCTTGGCAGCTTGCTAAGGATTAGCTAATATTTTAAGTCAAGAACCACTGTTTGTAATAAAAATGCCTCAATAGTAGATGCTTCCCTTAACACCATTTAGAGATTTTTATGCACATGGAAAGAACTTCCAAGACAACTGACAGGTAACTCCCTAAGCAGAGCCTGCAGCGAAAGCCCCACAAAACCCTGACTAGATACCTGGATGCAAGCAGAAATTGAGGACATCCACATAAATGAGGGACTTCTTAAATTTTGGCTTCA